ATCTCCTAATTATCAAAGTAAATATGTTAGGTATCCACTGAAAGTACTTTTGGAAACAAAGGTGTCAGAACTTATTCAGTAATTATATAACACATTTGAGAAATCAGTACCTAGTATTATTATACAGAGTGAGGATTCATTTACAGATAATTTCTCATATGGAATTTTATTCCCAAATGTACCTTTAGGTCTTAATATCTTAGTTTTTCATTATCTCATCTAGCACAATATGCCCCTTAAATGACAGTTGATTGATAAGTAATCAATATTGACTTAAATAATTTTACTTTCCTGCATTGTTGCATGAACCTTTACAGAGCTGAGTTCAGAATTTTTTTTAGCTTTATCTACTCCATCAAGAAAGAAAAGTAAGCACTATTATTTTCCTAAATAGCTATGTAACATCATTTCTGAATCATCTTCTTGTTGACTAAGTAACTTACGTAGAGGTGCTAAATGGCACAGTCACTGGTATTTTAGAACACATTGGCCATCAGTTGATACTGCAACTTGACAGATGTCTCCTTATCTGTCTCAGGCATTAAATTTGAAAGAGCACAAATAAAGAATAGACATCATGACGGCCAATTCATTGTCAAACTTTGGATACGCTCATGGTGAATACCTTTATGCACTGCATGTTAAACCCACAGGCTGGCATAAAAATTAACTGTGAAAAGACTTATTGGGTAGATTTATTTGATTAGTGTATATTTTTTACATTATCTGAGCTTATACTGTCCTTCAAAGGTACAGGCCAGGCCAGGACTAGAGGGAGGCAGTAAAGCACTATCCTGAGCTTCTAAATTTAAGAGGCTACCAAATACCTCAGGAATCAATCAGGAAATATAATATCTGTACGCAATATTTTAAAAATCAACACCAAAAAAATCCATAAGAACTATGCTGAAAGAAACTGTCAGTGAGTCTTTGGTTGACCAGTATTGCATGTCTATATCTGTTTTCATGAGAAGCCACTTTGAAGATATCAATATGTAATACAACCACCATTGTTAATTCCCTACCACTTTGTTTGTAACTCTGTAATGTCTGTATTGTGCTTGTGATATGTTATAAAATGTTGTATGTCTGTTAATGTTTCCCTCCTTTTATCTTTAAAATTAAAAAAAATCCATGAGAAATATAATATCAAAAATATACATAAAAACCAAAAAAGGTCTACATTCTGTCATGTTTAGTGATATTTCACTAAAAAATAGATGGCTAAGGTAAGGATCTTTCTGTTTTCTTGTTTAGTTTAAGGATGAAAATGGCTCCAAGCTTAACATCTCCAGCTCATATGATCATTGGTTCAATAATTCAGTATATTTGTCCAAATAGAAATTTTAGTGAATAGTAAGCATTATGTCCTGTCTTCTACATGTACAAAATGTAACTTAATTTAAATATAATTATCTTAAGTATGTGTCAGTTTAAAGTGTTATATTGTTTGGAAAACTCAATAGGAGATTAAAAAGAAATCATCCATAATCTCAATTTGCTACATGTGTGGCATATTTCTATGATTCAAGGCTCTCTTGTTGGCCTCTGATTCTCTTATGTAAGTACAAGCATACTGTCAATTACAAGGAAATTTTCCAGTAGTATTTTAGAATGTAGGAATTTTCATAGAATCTTTAAAAAGATCGTTGAGTGAATATTTCCCTTTAGATTTGCCTTATACACAACATAGAAATAATTGATTTCATGTATTCATTCAGGGAACTGACTTCATTCTATATGAAATTATCATCACATTTCCTATTCTCCTAGGCAGTAAAATTCCTTAAGAGAGTTGTCTGTGCTTGATGTTTCAAATTTCTCTCTTCCCACTTTCCAGCTTACATTTTTATCATTAAATAACTTAAAATTTATATAAAATTTTCAAGAACTGAACAAGTCATATACATTTTTCCATATGCATCATTGTTACATTTTGTAATATTTGCCTTACCACTATCAATTCTTTTCTTAACCACTTGAGAATTTGTTGTATGCACCATGTCCTTTTATCTCTAAATATTTCAACCTGTATTTCTCAAAGAATAACTACTTTTGTGTGGTTCCACTATCATATTCAAGAAATTTGTAAATGCAGTACTATTATCTTGTACATAGGTCCATATCCAAGTTTCACAAATTATCATAATAATGTTACTTATGTAAATTTTTCTCTGCTCCAAGGTCCAATAGAGGATCAGGCATTACATTTAGTGTACTATCTCTGGGAGCTGAATTATGAAACAATACCTGATGTTATCATCGTTTCGTGACAGTGACTTTTTTTAAGTACACAGGCTGATTGTTTCAGAGTGTCCTTCAAGCTGAATTTTTCTATTTCCTCTTTACTGGAGTCAGATGTGCATTTTTGGGCGGGAGCACTACAATTCATGAATTACATGAGAAAGTACAAAATGTCAGTTTCTCTCTCCCCTGAGTACTGAATCCTTAGTGAACATGGTACACGCTGCACATTTGTCACTAACAATTACCCATCCCCCCACAGTAAGTCATCATCAGGGAAATGATTTATCTTGCAGGCTTTTAAGTTTTTCTTTATAATTTTAGCATCCATTAAGGATTCTGACTTGTTTCAGTTATTACTATGACGGCTGCAAAATAGCTTTCCAACTATATCATTTCTTAGATATGTATTGGTTGGCATGTTCTACAAAGAAGAACTTTCCTTTCTAATTTATTTACTCACTTACTCGCTTACTATGATATGGATTCACTGGTTCCTGTTTTAGTCAATAGTTTATAGTCTATTCTTCCATTATTCTGAGCCTCAACTTTTCCCAGACTTGTTCAGAGAGACACCTTAAAAGTTGTTTCCTCTGTCATTTTTGAATGAGCCTATCATTTTTCAAACTATCCTTTATTTTCTGGCACAACAAGATGTTACCGTTCATCTCATAGTTTTCCTGTCCCAGTCTTAGAATTGGCCATGTCACCAACATGGTCTGATTCCTTTTAGCAAGAAATTATATTTTAAAAGCAAAACCTGGTTGCAAGATGTGGTTTCAGGGTGACGTTGCTTGGAAACATACAGTAAAATGTGCCCTTTTAAAGTACATCATTCATGATCAGCTCTGAGTCTTCACTGTACCTGACCCATTTGCAGTATTTGATCTTTAGGAGCACAGTTTCCTCCTTGATGCACTTCTTCACTAAGGTTCCAAGGAAAGATGTTTTCTTGGTTTTCCTCATGTGATGATACTTGTCCGGCTCCTGTAATTTTCCCTACTTTTCTCCATACCTCCTCCTCACCCCTCCTCCATCTTCCTCCTCTCCTCTCGTGTCCTCTCCTCTCCTCTCCTCTCCTCCCCTCTCCTCTCCTCTCCTCTCCCCTCCATTCACACAGAACATCTGCTGTTGCTTCCACATTCCGGGACCAGGCACACTCCTACTCCTGCTAGCTATTTGTGCTGGTTCCTCTATGTGGAAAATGTTTCCCCAGATAACCACTTGGTCAACTCCATCACCTTCAAGTTTGCATCAAATCATACCCTCTTGCAGCCATTGCTGACTTCACCCCGCAACGAACCTCTGAGCCCCTGTTCTCTGCTTTACTCTTTCCCCCTACTACACCTTCTAACATGTTTTAGAATTTACTTATTTTTATATTGTATATTGTCTTTCTCTGCCAAAAATGCAAGCTCCATGATGGAAGAGATATTGGTTTTTCTTATGTAAATATCTACAACTGAATGATCTCACAAAGGATCTAGAACAGTGCATGTTCCAAAGGAGGCATTCATTTCTTAAAATAAATGAATCAATCATTTTATCCTGTGCTTTGATTTCATAAAACCATGCAAATGAGTGAGAACCCACCAGCAGAATGGAGT